TCCGCCATTGATTCTCTCTGAGTGTGTATCATTAAATGACGAAATTTCAATCCCTGGCCGGATTTTGCTCGTGTGTAGACTGTGTAAACTGTAGGGTGCGTAATTATAAAATTTGTAGCAAAACCCGAACCGGGTCGGAGATTTCTAAACTAAAACCGGGTTCGTGTTGAAGTTCAGCATATTATTAAGGTCTTTCGTCTTCACGGAAGACCTTATAGTGATTCTACTGTTTCTTATTATTCTTTTTTTTTTTTTGACAAAATTTTGTGCGCGCGATTTTTCGAAAACTATTTAGCAGTTTTCTCAAAAAATGAAGTATAATATGAAGTTGTTACATGCGAAGAAAAATTTGGAAAATTCGCTTCTGGTGCCAAGTTATGGGCAATTTCCTGATTTTAAAATGCAATTTTGTCGCCCCTTTCTATCAGAAATGGCTAAAGATATTAACTGGAGACTTATTGGAGACGATAGTTTGTGACTTTTAGGTTTGCAGAATCACCTTTTTGTTCGTCGTCAGTACTTCCTGTCGTTACGAGATGCAAATAAAACAAGAGGCCCAGGGGCCACAGCGATCACCTGAGCACATCGGCTAGGAAAAAGCACATATCAGATCAGAACTGAAAGTTTACTGAGGTTAGGGGGGGGGGGGCTTGAAGATTTTTAAAGATTTTTCCTATATACTCCTATGTTAAAATTTGATCAGCCATTTTGGCCCCACCTTACCCCAGGGGGTCATGATTTGAACAAACTTGTATCTACACTACCTGAGGATGATTCCACATGAGTTTCATCTTTCCTGGCCCAGTGGTTTTGGAGAAGAAAATTTTTAAAGATTTTTCCTATATACTCCTATGTAAAACTTTGATCAGCCATTTTGGCCCCACCTTATCCCAGGGGGTCATGATATGAACAAATTTGAATCTACATTACCTGAGGATGACTCCACATGAGTTTCATCTTTCCTGGCCCAGTGGTTCTGGAGAAGACGAATTTTAAAGATTTTTCCTATATATTCCTATGTAAAACTTTGATCGGCCATTTTGGCCGCACCCTTCCCCTGGGGGTCAGGATTTGAACAAACTTGAATCTACACTACCTGAGGATGATTCCTCATGAGTTTCATTTTTCTTGGCCAAGTGGTTCTGGAGAAGAAGATTTTTTAAAAATGCCATTAATTTTTCATTAATTCATAATTATCTCCCCTTGGAAAAGGGCATGGCCCTTCATTTGAACAAACTTAAATCCCCTTCACCCAAGGATACTTTGTAGCAAGTTTGGTTGAAGTTGGCCCAGTGGTTCTTGAGAAGAAGATAAAAATGTGAAAAGTTTACGACAACGACAACGACGACAACGACAACGACGACGACGACAGACAACGGACAAATTTTGATCAGAAAAGCTCACTTGAGCCTTCGGCTCAGGTGAGCTAAAAAATCGTATTTTCTGACTTTTTTGTTTTTCAATATTTTTCATTTAATTTTGGTATGTTAATAGAAACCCATCTCATAATGCTTACTATATAATTTGTTTGAATGTTGATTAATCTAAACTCTAGATATTAGCATTCAAAAATCTGAAGCGGGACCGAAATGGCGGCTGTCTCTGTCGAATCCGACATTTCGCAATAGGGGTTTACGGAGGCAGCCGAGCGTTTGCTTGAACGAAAGTAACATTTTGGATAAATGAAATATAAAGGAATACTTGGATTGTCACGTCGTACTTACGTTGCAGTTCTGTGTCAAACTAACGTCTTCTATAATTGGTTTTTGGCTGGTTTTCAAAGTAGAAAAAGAAAAGACTGAACGTGCAAATGAAATTCGATACCTAATATCTTTTGTGCACCACGGAAAAACAGATCTTAAATCATAGTTATATGTAATACTTTCTAAGGAAATGATATCAATTAATATTGTAAGTATAAATTTTAACCACTGTTTTTCCTTTGCATACTTGTGTCATAAACTAATAAATAAGACAGAAATAAGAAAACGATTTTTTTAAAGATCGCTTGATGGTGTTTATATTAGCATTCTTGTCTCAAAGACCTGATTCAAGTCATTGAGCATAAATAGTATATTATTCCTTGACCGTCGTAGGGGGAGCCATGTTTTTCGGCGAAACATTTTAACCTTTTTCGATTAGCTAATCGGGATAGTTCACTTTGGGATAAACAGGAAATTGAAAAAAGTAAAAAAAAATCACAACCGTTTTACCGCTTTAGTGTTACATGCATATATGCGAAATAAACTTTCAAAACAGATATTTTCCTTTTATTTGCCGTAATGATCAATATCAGTCTACAAATTTACTTCATTACAATTAATAAAAGTATGTATTTAAGAAGTACGAATCTGTTTTCTACGACAGGGGTCAACACAATTTCTTCAATCTCTACGATAATGAGGACACCCACTTTTTTATTCACTTTAAACATAGTCAGCGCATGTTTGTCTATTGTTCTCCTTTTAGCAGCAGTTGTATATTTGCATAAGTATTGTTGTGTTAAAAGGAGATTAATAGACAAACATGCACTCGTGGTTTAAGAGAGACAAAAATTCTTCTTCTTACACTCGCAATCTCTGTTGTAAACAAGGGTTATGACACGTTAAATATTATAATTCACCACGTGATATCTTTCCTTGGGAAACTCTGTGAATACTAAATTCTGTCACGTGACTTATCGATAGCATCATTAAGCTAACTAGGACACTGTGCTCGAACACGTTAAATTGTCAGGCATCGATTTAAATTATTCTTTACCTTCATAGACGGGATTATATTATTACATTTTAAACCTTTGTATATAATGTACTCGTGCAATACAGAATAAATAGGCAGATGAAAAATGTTGATTTCGTATTTTAAAAACATATCAGTTATTCATCTAGGCTAATTTTAGATCCATTCTTACGATGTTAGCTCCGCCTCTAATGCATACATAATGTTCAATCAAGGGCAGGTAAGTGTAATTTCTCTGAATTTGGAAAAGGGTAAGGGTAAAAAACATAGAACTTAGTAGTTAATTGTATTGTAGTCTGAAATTATTTTTAACATTTTATACTGGTGCCAAAATGACAGTCCTCAGTAGTAAATATACAAAAGTGAAATTAGATTAGGATTTAAAAGCTACAGAAATACCCCCCCCCCCCCAAAAAAAAGACCCAAAACACAGCGTTAAGTGCAGTCATCCTTTGTAAAATGTGTTAAATGTACTTTCTAAACCTCCAATCTTAGGCTATAAGAGCGTTCTTTTTTTAATTTCATTGAAGCTATCAAACCTATTTAATAGAGCATTCCAAAGGAAAGGCGCGAAGATTAACTTGTGGCGTTTGGCGCTAAGTTTTGAATAGTGACCTGCCTTTCATAATTCTAAGACAGGTTGATTTAAAGTAGAGGTCCCGATAGCGTAATATTTAGCGCGTTGGAATTTCATGCTGGCGACTTGGGTTCAATTCCCCTTGTGTGCAAATCTTTTTTTTACTTTTTCAGCTCGATTTAACGTTTTCTTTCCGGAATCGGACGGAAGACCACTCGTTGCTCGCAACGAGTTTCATATCTAGTTTTATATATAATTTGAATTATATAAGTAAGTTCCGTGACGAATACAATCATTCGTATATTTCAGAAATTTTCAAAAAAAAAAGTTTTCAGTTTAGAATTTTCCGGCCCAGCCCTGATTTTCCTAACCCATCTTAAGCACACTTCGTTGCAGATGCAACTGTTAGAACAAAATATAGTTCAGCAGGGATTGTATAATTTTTATTAATCAGAATTCGTATTCATATAATCTAATTAAGAAAAAAACGTTTTGTCTACCATCGTAACTTCTCGAATATCTTTGGATATGGGGTAACCCATATCTATTCTTGTTAACCTTTCTTTTTAATTATAAAAAAATTCCCAAAACTATAATATTATTATTATAGTATTTTCTTTTCTTTTCATAAAAAAATTCCCATACTTTAATATTATAGTATGGGGATTTTTTTAGTTATGAAACGAAAGGTTAAAAACGTGAAGCGCCCGTGCTTCAAAGCAATGGTGAGTAATTGCTGAGAAAACTGCGACGTAAATTTGGTATCCGGACAGACCTACGGATAAACAGGAAGTTGATATTGGGTTTGTACAAAAATAAATAAAACCGTATGGCATGACTAAACACTTTCTGTATCTAATTGTCATTCTTTTTCCAGATGAAGACATTTGGCCTCCTCTTTCCATTTTTTTCATATTTCACGGTAGTGATGGGACTGAGAGGTAAGTTTCTTCAAAGTGGTAGTACAGGAACAGGAAGTGACATTATTGTTGTAAATGTATTGTGGAGGCCACAATGGCAGTAAAGAAGTGGGAAACATTAATGCACATGTTAGGCACGTGTTAGGTTACTCCATTTATTCGAACTACACACAAAAGATTACACATAATTAAGACGTAGTACACAACATCAATTACTATTCAATCATTAAAATATTTTTAAATGGTTCAATATAAAGAAATGCTAGGCAGACAATTTTTTTTGGTAAGGTATATTTAAGCTTATAGTTTAAGTTATTAAAAATCAGTTTATTAAGTTATTAAAAATCGTATTTCTTCATCATAGGTGGGGGTTTTTGTAGGGGAACAAAATCGCTTTCCGATAAATGTAGATATGTTTCAAGGATATCAAACCAATGGTCCTTTTCAAGTATTCGTCGAGACGGTGCATACTGTAAAAGTATTAAAAATTAATACTATAAAAATTAAAATTTAATATTGTTCTCATAATATTATAATTCAAATCATGTTAATTTTAAGTTCACCTAAGAGCTGTACAGCAAACATCATGTATGGCACGCCAAATTCACAAAAATGAGCTAAACATAGTTTCACAGTTGATAAACTAGGTTTATCGACAGTAAACTATAGTTTACAAACCGTAAACTATAGTTAACAATTCGTTAACAATAGTTTTCATCTGTAAAACTATATTTAACGGTTGTTAACTATAGTTTACGAATGCTAATCTAAGTTTATGTGTTTGTAATAAAGCGTTAACAATAAATTTTGTTGATAAACATAGATTCACGTTTTTAAACTACCGTATAATTTACAATCGTAAACTATAGTTAAGAGTTGTTAATCATAGTTTCACAATCGTGAAACTATATTTATCAGTTAACAGTTAACTACGTATAGTTAAGAGTTGTATGGCACGCCAAATTCACAAAAATGAGATAATCATAGTTTCACAATTGATAAACTAGGTTTATCGACTGTAAACTATAGTTTACAAACCGTAAACAAAAGTTAACGATTCGTTAAGTATAGTTTTCATCTGTAAAACTATATTTAACGGTTGTTAACTATAGTTTACGAATATTAATTTAAGTTTTAAGTAATAAAGCGTTAACAATAGATTTTATTGATAAACATAGATTCACGTTCGTAAACTATAGTTTGCAATCGTAAACTATAGTTAAGAGTTGTTAATCATAGTTTCACAAATTGTGAAACTATATTTATCAGATCGTTAACTATAGTTAACGGTTTGTAAACTATAGTTTACAAATCGTGAAACTGTATTTATCAGATAATCCATGTTTTGCAATCGCAAATGATTGTTTTCGATGTTAAGTATAGTTTACGGTTGTGAAACATAGATTATCGCGTTAACTATGGTTTACAGATGTGAAATATAGATTAACGTTGTTAACTATAGTTTACGGTTTGTAAACTATAGTTTACAACCGATAAACCTAGTTTATCGATTGTGAAACTATGATTATCTCATTTTTGTGAATTTGGCGTGCCATAGAGTTGTAAACCATAGTTTACAAATCGTGAAACTGTATTTATTAGATAATCTATGTTTTGCAATCGCAAATGAATGTTTTCGGTGTTAAGTAGAGTTCACGGTTGTGAAACATAGATTATCGCGTTAACTATGGTTTACAGACGTAAAATATAGATTAACGTTGTTAACTATTATAGTTTACAGTCCGTAAACTATAGTTTACAACCGATAAACCTAGTTTATCAATTGTGAAACTAAGGGCGAATTTGTTTCTCAAAAACTGGGTTTAGTTTTGAACCAGTTTTGTGAGCTGTTTATTTGTTCCACAAACTGGTTTTAAACTAGTTTAAACCCAGAACCGGTTTTCCATTTGTTTTGGTAGTAACTGAAACCAGTTCGTTAAACCAACCAAACCACCTGTGATGGTGGTTTATTCGGTTTACGAAAGAGCGGGATGTATTCTAGTATGGCGGTGATGAAAGATGGTGACTATTCTAATAAAGAAAAAAAGTTATAAATAATTGTTTTTTCGAGGACAAACAACTCTTTTGACTAAAATACCACATTCTGATATTTGATGCTTTATATCTAAGGTTTCAGAGAATAGATAAATCCTGCATATTGAAAATAATGGTGTTTGTTCAATAATAATGAACAGAATACAATGCATGTTAAAGTTTCCTTTTTAAAATAAGTTTTGAATCATTTGGACAAACTTCAACATATATGGTAAATTGTAGAACATACTGTAAAGACAGCTTAAATACTGGAAATCTAAAGAGTAATTATAAATACCCGACTGTCTATCTTTCCATGTGTTAAAAATGTGAAAATTGTTCATTTGATTAATCTTTGAGGCAATAAACATATGAATACTTCACTTTAACTATACATAAGATAATCAAAGAATATAAATACGTTTTAATTTCTTGGATTCTTTTATTAAGAAAAAGATTTTAACAAATTTATTTGCATGTGTAATTTGGTTAATTGCTCTGCATTTTTTGACGCCATCTTGTACAAACCATGTAAACTGTTCATTTGTTTTACCGAGGTAAATCGGATTGAAATTTAAACCAGTTTGAAAAAATAGTTTTAAACCTTAAACCAAATCCTGAACCAGTTTAAGTGCAACAAATTCCCCTAAGATTAGCTCATTTTTGTGAATTTGGCGTGCCATAATCATGATATTCTGTTCTTCACATCATTCACTCGCACTTTCATCCTCCATTGCGTCTTACAATAAATTATTTAATAAAATAGTTACTTGAATGATAGAATTTTTGGAACTCTCGGAATTGAAATCTGACTTTACAATCAAGCACACCCTTAGTGAATAGGATAAAGTCACGTGACTGTCCGTGTAGTGTTTAAAAATAATTACTACCTCATTCACACAAAGTCTTTCATACCACATTCTCACATATACACAGCGCAAGTAAATATAAGCATTGATATTAATACATACAAATGTACCTACCATATTACAGTGTTTTCTGTGTTCCCTATTCGTCTTGTTTAATGGATGTTTGAACTTCGTTACTACTAGTTTTCTAATATTTAATTTACAAATTTCATCTGTAGAAAAAGACCCAAAATGCAGATACCAAGTTCACCTCCCACAGGCGTCATGGCACACAGCTTATGATGTATGTCTTCAAAAAAACATGACTCTCGTGAGATTAGAGGCACTCGCCGAAAAAAACATTTTGGCAGAAGTTTTGGAAGAAGTTGATAACATGATGAACAATTTTTCTATTAAAAGGTACTCTTTGTCTTTTCTTTAAATACAAAAGGACACAGATTTCTTAACGGGTGATAAATTTCAGGTGAAGGAGTGGCTTATTTTATACAGGTGTGAATTTCTTGGGGGCCAGCGGTCTACCTGTGGGCATACTATAAAACCTGGCCTGGCCTCTATTTTGTCCTCCGTAAAAAATTTTGGCCTCACTCAAAAATAATTTGATGACGTGGATTAACAGCCTGTGCACATATACATTTCATTACTGATTAACTTTAACCTTAGCTCCCTGTCAAGAACCATGCTGCAGGATTTTTTGTCATTTAATAGATATCCAATCACAGTGTTACCGCACAGGTATAGAAAGTTATCAATTATCTGATAATGTTATTTATTTTAATTTTTTTAAATACCAACTGTTCTGAGATTAAAGTACATATGAATTTTTAACAGAGTAATCAAATCAGTATAATATAAATATTTTGGTACATGTATCTGCATTGGTTTATGGTAGTATATTTATTTAAGAATTCTTTGGTGCATGTATTCGAATATCACATTTCAGATGAGGCAGGCATAACAGTAACACAACACTTTACAGTGTGTGAAAAGTGACGATTCGTCACTAATAACAAGTGGGAATTAACTGAAATAAGTGTACACTGATAGATTGATAATCAATAAAATAAATCATATTGGTGGTAGCGCATGATTATTTTTTAATGTTCACATTTACATATCAACAGAAATATGTTATTTATCTGCTTTATCTTTGAAAAACTGAAACTAATAAAAAAATCAATCAAATCAAAAAACAATCAACAAATTCCGAAAAAAAAAATTATTTTTGAGTGAGGCCAAATTGAGGCCAAAAATTTTTACAGAGGCCAAATTTGAGGCCAGGCCAACTTTTTAGACCAGGCCAAAATTTATTTTGAAGCCAAATTAGAGGCCAAAATAGAGGCCAGGCCAAAGGGGCCAGGCCAGGTTTTATAGTATGCCCAACCTGTGGTGGTTTGTCTCCTAATTCCTATAGACAGGAAATGATTAAATACATAATGGAATACCCATGAAGTAAAACTTAACCTGTGTTGTGGATTTTGAAATAGAAATAAAGTTTCATCTCAGTAATGTATATTGATTTGAATGTTTGTGAAAACACCCCACCCAATTAAAAAACAATATCATACTATTAAGTTACTTTAAAAAAAATGCTTGTAAATTCTTATCTGAGTAACAAAAGAAAATATGTGACCCATGATTAGGAACATTTTATAAATATCTTTAAATTTAATTACACAAGTACAAATAGTGCTGTTCTAAACTTAATCAAAAGACATTTCCATCTTATGATAAGCAGATTAAAATTAATATCGCATTTTCATTTAAAAATAAAGTTTATATGTACCAAAATTTGATACATACCGTAAAATCACATATTTTCGAGGGGTCAAATTTTCGTGGTTTGCGGAAAAAATATCGGTTCGTCGGGATTTCATTTCGTGGATGAAGAATTGTTGAGTAGAAACATCTGTGAAAAAATACATTTCATGGAGGATGTAAATTCGTGGGTCTATTCATACCACGAAAACCACAAAAATTAAACCCCAACGGAAATAAGTGATTTCACAGTATATATTATCGGAAAGAATATTAAAATCCTTTCAAATACAAAAGGTATATTTATTAACTCATATACTAGTATTATCTAGCTAAAAACTGTCATTTAAGTGCCAAACAAAGTGTACAGGGTATATACAGGGATTAGTCAGTAGATGTCAATCAAGTTCTAGCATCGAATAATGGACCTAAATGCATTTGATTGACAGGGCTACACACACAAGAACGAGGTGCTTAAAATCTCGTGATTATTTTTTTTCGAGACAACTTTCAGTACCTCAAGTGATCAAATTGGTTGAATTTTTGTTTTACATCACATGAGGTCGACGAATTGTGGTGCGCATGCGCGAAAGTAATAGACGTAAATTTTTGTAGCTCATAAAATTTTTACAAATTTACCAAAAAAAAAATTAAGTTTAAGACGACACAAACCACAGGAAAGTTTAAGTAATACACCTGCAATCAAAGTGTGACTCGATCCTGCTACCGTATTGGTAAACCACTGTAAGATTGCATTCATATAATGTGAAAAACTAGTGATCTGTGAGTATTAATCAGCTGTTCATCAAAATGGTACCAGCACCTTGCCGTAGCCATCCAATCCTCGCCTGACCATCATAATTGTATGTATGTATCTGTACCAACATAATGCTCCTTCTGTCCATTTTATTTGTGATATCATGCCTCGAGAATATGTTCTATACACAACCAGAATTTCCTCTGTCCAATCAGAATCATGATCTAACTGTGAAAGTGCAAGCTTTAAACTTCACCATCCTCAGACAAGTTATTAATAAGAATATACTAAAAGACCAAGAGAACACAAAGTCCTTGTTAGTATTCCTTATTCCCATCCTCATTGCAAGATCAAACGATGTTGAAAGTAACCCTGGACCTGCTGATTCCTCCTACCCATGTGGAACTTGTGATCTTCCAGTTACTTGGGACGATAAGGGTATTATGTGCGAAACATGCAATCAGTGGTACCATGCTACCTGTCAATCTGTTCACAGTAAGACATATAATGAACTTGCCAACAACAGTGCTATTGCTTGGGATTGTATCATATGCGACTGCCCTAACTACAGCTCAGTCTGCTTTGAACAAGTAGTCACAACATCAAACCCCTTCAGTGTGTCATCAAACTCAACCATTGCTAGTCCAACACCAAGTGCAACTATTACACCAGTTCATACCTCGACACCAACTAGGAACCATCAACCTAGATAAAACATCTCCTATCAAATTACTTAATGTAAACTGTCAGTCAATAAAGACCAAACAATGCCGTATCAAAAATCTCATAGAAAGCACCAAACCTGACATTGTTGTGTGTACTGAGACTTGGACAGATCCATCAATTACAGACAACCAGATCTTTCCATCAGAATATAAATTGTACCGTAAAGACCGAGCCTCTAATGGAGGAGGAGTGCTCATTGCTGTTAACAAAAACTATGTGAGCTCACCAGTTCCTGAGCTAGACTCTAACTGTGAAATCATCTGGACAAAGATCAGTCTAGTTGGACAGAAAGATCTATACATAGCATCATATTATAACCCCCAAACAGCTAATGAAGAATCATTAGATGAACTACGCAAAAGCTTAAATCGGGTACATCAGGTGAGGAATGCCAGTGTAATTGTTGCGGGCGATTTCAACCTACCAGGATGGAACTGGGCAAACAAGACATTAAAGCCAAATACTGTCTGGTCAGGAAACCACTACAAATTTGTAGACATCCTGGATGACAATGGCTTAACTCAGCTTGTAGAATGCCCAACAAGAGGTGAAAACACCCTAGACTTGATACTGACCAACAGTCCTTCAAAATTTAACAGAGTTGAAACCATACCAGGCATCTCAGACCACGACATTGTTTTTGCAGAAATAGACACTAACATCCTAAAGAAACATCAAAAACCTCGAAGAATCTCCTTGTATCGCAAAGCCAGCTGGGATACAATGAAAGAAGATATGACATCAACCCTAAACACAATATCAAAGATGGACGTTGAAAATCACAGTGTAGATGAGATGTGGAAGTGCTTTAAAACTAACCTGGATAACAGCATAAAGCAAAACATACCACACAAGGATGTCAGAGCCAAAGATGGCCTACCATGGATAACAGCAGACCTCAAGAAGCTCATCCATAAGAGAAACAGATTGTACAAAAAGAAGAAGAAATCTGGAGACAACAGAGATAAAGAACACTTCAAAGAAATTAAGGGGAAGGTACAAAGAGAACTAAGAAGAGCATACTGGAACTACATCGAGGGAATAGTAACACCTAAAGTAGAGGACGACCAATATAGCGGCCTAAAGCGCTTCTGGACTTACATAAAACACCAAAGAACCGACAACAATGGAATCTCACTAATCCGCAGTGAAGGAGTGCTACATGCGAATCCGACCGACCAGGCAGATGTGCTGAATAAGCAGTTCCAGTCTGTATTATCAGAGAAGACACATATCAGTATTGAAGAATTTACTCGTGACTGTCCTATGAGTGGAAAATACCCAGTTGCACCAGAACTCCACATCACCCATAATGGAATTCTAAGACTATTGAAAACTCTGAATCCGTATAAAGCAGCGGGCCAAGATAGGATTAAACCTAGAGTACTGAAGGAGCTGACTGTCAGCGTAACTCCTATTCTCACCATCATCTTTAGGAAATCGTTACAAAGTAGAGAGATACCATCGGAGTGGCGTAAAGCGCATGTAAGCCCGGTTTTCAAAAAAGGGGATAGATACAAGGCTGAGAATTATCGACCCATCTCCCTCACATGTATCTGCTGCAAGTCATGAAGCATATCATCACCAGCCATATTATGCATCACGCTGATACCAACAACATACTTTACCCACTTCAGCATGGTTTCCGTAGCAAAAGATCCTGTGAATCTCAACTCACTGAGTTTATAGATGACATAACCAATCACATGGCTGCCGGAAAGCAGACAGATGTATTGATCATGGATTTTTCCAAGGCTTTTGACAAGGTTAGCCATAGCCTCCTCATCCATAAGCTCCGACATTCTGGGATCCAGGGAAATGTAAATAACTGGATTGCTAGCTTCCTGTCCAACAGAACACAACCTGTAGTAGTCGATGGAGAAATGTCCAACTATGTCAGTGGTGACTCTGGAGTGCCCCAAGGGTCAGTCCTTGGGCCATGCCTATTCCTGTTCTATATAAACGACATGCCAGAAGGCTTCAATGCCACAGTAAGGCTTTTTGCCGATGATACTATCGTATACCTTACTGTCACGTCTGAACTGGATACCCAGACACTCCAAGCAGACCTTGATAAACTGGGCATTTGGGAAAGGAGGTGGAAAATGGAATTCCATCCTGATAAGTGCAATGTATTATCAGTCAGCAGGAAGCCTAACCT